AAGTTGTTCATATGGATTGTGCTTAAGATTAACACTAAAGATCTGCTTTAGGCCCACAAACCAGATTGTGCATTGCCTTTAGAAGTCTATATTATGTACTTTAAGAAGTCTGAGTCCCATAACTATCTATTTCTTCAGTGCAAGGTAGCTTGGTTTGTCCCCTTTCTTGAAAATTTCATCACCTGTTCTTTTTATTAAAGTTGTGTGAGATTGTTAGGATAAGGAGTAAAAAATGAACGACTATGAAGAAATATTCAATGATGATTTTATTAATCACATGAATGTGCTATTTATAATCTTACAATTCATTAAAATGTAGAGTTCTAATTTTACACAGCATTAAGTTGTAGACCCCTAATGATAAAAAAATAAGAGTAGTGGTATCACATATTACGGTGTAGGTTAAATAAGTGTTCTATTTTTCATTCCCCCCCCCTCCCAAGCTGTGTGGGTGAAATGTTGAGATTGTACCTCAAGCAATTGAACCTTGTAGAAGAAACTGCCTCGGTGAGATCTTCAATTTGCTGACAGCACCATCCTTTTCTTCAATCATGATAATCAATCCCTACCCAGGTTCAGGTTCTAACTCTTATCCAGGTTTTTGAGATTATTCCTGGTAAAGAAAAAACCTGAATAAGAGTGGGCTTATAGGGATTAACATGGACGATGCCCGAATTGATAAGCTAGTGAGAGAGTTTGGTTGCTGTAAGTTGGAGTGACCTGTTACCTATCTTAGAGTTTCCTGGGCGGAGATTCGTGACTTACACCTTTTTGGAAAAAAGGTAGAAACTAAGACAGTTAAGTGTCTTGAGAGTTGGCAGGGGAGTTTCTTTACCTTGGGGGTAGGGTCACTTTGATTTAGGCATGCCTTTCGAGCATCCCAGTTTACTACTTGTTTTTATTCAGGATTCTGGGTAGGGTAGTAGAAAGGATTGGAGGATACATGAGAAGATTTCATTGGCCGAGGGTATGAGAAGATGTTAAGGATCATTTAGACAATTGGGAGGAATGCTGTAAATCTAAGAATTCAGTAAGGATTTGGGATTGAGATTTCAGTAAATGACTCTGGCGATTCCCTAAGGAACCAGAGTTTTTGTAGCATAGGGTGATCAGAAGCATCCATGGGAGCAAGATGGATGTTTGGAATGTCTTTGCTGGAAGGTATGTCTCTCACGGTAGTCCCTGGAAAGGCATCTCACAAGCTTATCCTCTTTTCCTTCCACGTACTCTAGTCAAGTTGAAGATTGGTCTACTTTGACATTTTGGGAGGATCAATGGTTGGGCCACCAACCATTAGCTACACAATTTCCCAGATTATACAGCCTTTTCTTCCAACATCAACTTCCAGTTTCTCAGTTTTTAATCCCCACCGAGGAAAGGATATCACAGAATTTCCACTTCTCCTGTAACTTATCTGAGACTTAGGACATGTTATCCTTATTGGACCTCTTGGCCCTTATTATTTACCATCCTCACAATCTGATGTCAAACTGTGGAACTTGGAATCTTCTGGTCTTTTTACTTTTAAATCCCTATTTGAACACCTACCAACACCTTTCTGCATTCCTCTTCCAATAATACATTTTCCTTTGGCTGCCAGATATATATTGCTAAAGGTTTCTGGAAGGCTCCTCCTCCTATGGTGAAGTTCTTTGTTTGGATTACTAAACTGGAATTTTAACACAAACGACTTACCTCAAATTTGCCATCCTTATCGGGCTTTTCCTCTTGATGTTTGTGTTATGTGTATAAAGTTGGTGAAACACATGAAAGTTTGTTTGTTCATTTCAAGGTGGCAAATTTTGGACAAATGTATTCAAACTGTTTGGTATTGTTTGGGTGTTGCCCCCTACAGTGGAGAGCTCCTTTCTACTCATATAAATGGGCATGTGCTGAGGAAAGATGCCAATCCTTTATGGCAGGGAGCTCTGTTTGCTGGTATATGGTGCATTTGGTTGCTCGTCATTTGAGAATCTTCAATAGCAGAAATACTCGAGCTGGTATATGGTGTATACGTTAGTAGAGACAGTGATTTGAATCCATAAGAGGACCAAAAATCAATCTGCTCCTGTAAAGTAGCATCTTGATTTGTCACTGGCTTCCCGTTCTTGAGGATAGTTTCAACCTATCATGAATTGATGTCATCAATATGATTGAGAACACTAAAAAATCTTGAAGAACCAGTATGAAGAGATACTTTCGAACCAAATATTTGGTGGAATCAAGTTACTCAGAAATTAGTTCTTGATGTTGGAAACTCCAAAGGAAGAATGAAAAGCATGGGAACATTGAAGGAAAGAAGAAGAGGAGTTGGCTATAGTGGAGAAAGAAGAGAGACTCATGTTTCCTGAAGAGAAGAAAAGTCAAGTTTACTGAAGAGGAGTCGGCTATCATGTTGCTACGAGAGAGACAGAGAGAAGATGAGTTGTTTCACTCAAAAGGAATGTGATTGAGATTGATGGAGGTTTATGGCACATATCTGAAGAAGAGAGACAGAGGTCAATGCAAGCAGTCCATGCATTGTCTGGCAGAGGACGAGAGAGAGAGAGAGAGAGAGAGAGAGAGAGAGAGAGAGAGAGAGAGAGAGAGAGAGAGAGGTATGCAAGTGAGACGAGAGAGAAGAGGGACCAACAGAGGACCAATAAGAGAAATCCCCAAGGACCAATAAGAGAAATCCCCAATTTAGGGTGACTGCGTCGATCTTACAAACGAGGCTGGCCTTGGATTTGATGGAAAGATGTCCTGAGGAATTCTTTTTCTTTGGTATAAAAACCAGTAGCTCCATACCGATCCAGGGAGAAAAATTGAAAAAGCAAATTTTATAGTGGCTCTAATATCACAAACATAATATGAAGAAATATTCGAAGGTGATTTTATTAATGATTTTATTCGAAGGTAATTATTTCAAAAAAATTAATGATATCAATTTGCTATTAGTGATCTTACAAGATATTAGGATCTAGAGTTCTAATCTTTACCAAGCATTAGGTTGTAGAATCCTAATGATACAAAAATATAAGACAAATGATGTAAATCACATGAATGTGCTATTTGTAACCTTACAAAGTATTAGGATTTAGACTTTTAATTTTATAAAGCATAGGTTGTAGAATCCTAATGGTACAAAAATGTAAGAGTAATAATATGCACAAATTATAGTACAAATTAAATATAAGAGTAGTATTTAGAAAGTGCTTTGGAATGGAGGGCCGCTATTTTGGTTGGAATGCCAGTCTTGCCATTTTCATTCTCCCATGAAGTTCATAATATTCTTTTTTTTTTGTGCAAATCCTTATAAATACCTATTCTTTTTCCAGCATATAGTAATGTTAATATTTTTTTAAAAAGTTACCTCTGCTTAAGTCTTCCCCTCTTAGCTCGCTCCCATGTCTAGTCTCTTATTTTCTGCTATCTTTCTGGTACAGTGTTTTCTCTTTGCTTTACTAAGTGTTGGCCTTGCTCTTTATGAAACTAACCATGTACATATGTGGTTGCTTGTGTTGGTTTGTCCTACCTCAAGAGTTTCTTTGTTTTGTTTATAATAACATAGAGTTGTAGGGATGAGTTGGTCACCGCTTAGTGGAGAAGAGCCAACCTATTTTGAGATTTGGTCTCTCAAAAAGTTACTCCAAGGTGATGAACCCATCCTCTAGGCTCAAGTGCCTAGTGTTTAATCAAAATCAAAGGCTTTATTTTACCTAAGTTTTGGCATGCATATCATGTTTATTTTCAACATTTTGTTGCAGACAAGAAATCCATCAATAAGGCAGTTGGATAAGAATTTCTCATCTTTAATCATTCAGCAATTGAGCCTGTATTTGATTTGGTTATTAAATGTTAGTTGTGCCTTCATATGTTCTTGTTTTCTGTTTATGGCATAGCAAAAAGTTTCAGTGTCAAATATGAGAAGGCGCTCAAGAGTATAAATAATCACTAAAAGAATGACCTTTTTCTTTTCTTCTTGAGCTATTGGTGATTGAATATTCTGGGTTCTATGTTTCTTGATATTTATTCTTCCTTTTGAAGAGAATTACAAAGGAAAACATTTGAGGCCATGAATTAATAGGATGATGGGCGTTTCACGGGCAAATTGAATTTGCATGTTGAGAAAATTAAGACTTGATTGGTACACGAAAAAGTTTCCTGAGTATTCATTTCTTGGATTTATGTTGATGCATATTTTTATTCATAAAATTTATTTATGTTTTTCTGTTTCTACAGTAACCAAATATAAATAAAACGTGTTTATGGGAAACACTGAAACAATTTTTATTTTCATTTTTCGAATCTGATCCTTATTTTTATTATCATTTCTTGAATATTGCATTCATTTTTAACTGTCTTATTTATGAACTTGAAAAATGAAAGCTATATATTTTTATATACCAGATAGAGCCTAACATCTTATTATCTACCTTGAGAACTAGAATAGTTTGCTTTAACAAGTATGTATTTTTCTCCAATTTGATAAAAGAAAGAAAGTTTTAGATGATAAAATCTTTCAATTATATGTTTTAAGAAATGTTGAAAATAAGTTATTTACATATTTTTCGATGTTCTGTCCTTATTTTAACACATTCTATTGTTATTTTCCTTCTTATTATATTTACTTAAGATCACAGTTTCATCTTCAGGAGCCAGTCGCGTTCATGGGCGGTGTATTTGCCGGACTTCTAAGGCTCGATTTGAATGAAGATCCCCTCAGGGAGTGGGTTAGTCGAAATGTGGAAGCCTTGGGGATTAAAGAGGACGAACTTGCTGATGATGGTTCAAAAGTGGAGGAGCAAATCCCTATACAAATTGACATCGAATGATTGTTACCTTTGTTCCTTTGTATGAATATTTACTCGTATCATTTGTAATGCTCTAAATTCAAAATTAGACATGATACGACACAACGTATTTATAGATAAAAACTCATAAATATATGAGAATTAAAACAAATTTTAATCAACTCAAAAAGTATGGCGCAAATGTTAAATAATCAATAACTTTTTGAGAATGTGATTATACCTCAAAAATTTAAAAGAATTAAACTCATTGAACAAAATGATTGCCCCAATTCGAATCTAACATAAAATTAATAGGTTTAAATTTTTAATTGGAAAATTTTTTAGTCACTTATGCCTTTCAAGTCTTCATATTTAACCTATTTTTTAAAAATTAAGGAAAAGAAAATGTGATGAGCTCATAGTTTAGTGAATAAAAAAGTCAAATCAATTTTGGATGAAGTAAATTTCAATACTAATAATAAAGATAATGTTTAAAAAATTATAGTATTAAATGATGTTAAAATATTTTTAATTAAAATTTAAGATAAGTGTTAGACAATTTAAATAAATTTTATAAATATTATTTTTTAATATTTACAGTTACGTCACACATATATATATATATATATATATATTATAATAAAATTCATAAAGCGATTTAAAAAATAGACAAAATGGGTATTGGGGAGTTTAAAGTTAATGACCCCTTATTTGCAAGATCAGAATAGTGCCTAATCGTGATAACATCAACCTTTTTTACATACTCCCTATAGATTTTGGTGAAGAAAACAAATAGATAGGTAGGTTAGGGGCGTGCAGGAAGGGAAAAGGGCAAGAAGGCTTCCAAAGATTAGTATTCAAGATTACTACAAATGAATTAAAATTTCAAGATAGATTTAAATATGAATTGGTATTTATGAAAATAAGTCAAAAGGAATAAAAGCATCAATCAACTACAAAGTCTCTAAAATCACCTTTCAATACACATTAAGTGGACATATCACAGGTGCACATTTAGGGTCATAAGTGTAAGCCTACTACTACCACTTAATAGGCATGTGTGTTCTATTGTTACATCCCAAATTTATTCTTATTTTTTCCTTTCCCGAAGCTCACATAAGATAAATCCAATTCACATCCCTTCAAATTCATCTGAGTCTTTATCCTTCTGTATCAAACTGACATAACCCATTTTATTTTACAACCCAACTTGTTTACTTTTTCAGTCCTTACAAACCCTTGGCCCTTATAAGGACAATTTACACCCAAATCTTAGTTACAACCCAAACCAAAACAAACTCACCTTTATATTTTGTATCAGTGCCATTGACACCATTTTCAGAAAAAAATAATATCGGATTGCTCCCAAGTTTTCTTCAAAATGACAAGAAAAAGGGCAAGCTTTTATAAAGCTCAAGAGAAAAGATCGGAAGATGATTGACGGTGATGAGGACAAAGATGCATGCCAAGTTGGTAAAATCGCATTGTAGAAGATCATACAAAGAGAGAAACATTCAATTTGCCGCAATAGAAAATGTGGTAAGAGAGAGAGGGAACTCAAGAATCTTGGATGAAGAGTGAGGCAGTGAAAGCATGTTAAAGGGTATGGATCCATTTCAAGAAGAGAGGCTTAAGTGAAGGGCTGGGATTTATCACTGCTATCAAAATAACGTTTTTAGGCATGACGAAGAAAGAGAAAAGAGCATGAAGATCATAAATATTATGATCTGTACTTTACAAAAAAATAGTTAAGTGATGAAAAATATAAAATCATAA